CAGCCCAAAACTGGACATGGTACTGCAGATACGGTGTCAAAAGCACTGCACAAAGGGGAACGATCCCCTGCCTTGACCCACTGGCTAGGCTGCAGCTCATGCAGCCCAGGATGCTTTTGGTTTGCTTTATTGCAAGGATACGTTGTTGGCTTTTGTTTGGCTTGCTGTCCACCATGACACCAAGGGCCTTTTCTTCAAAAATATGTTTACAGGTTATAGGAATACACTTAGGATTGCTGCCAGGGAACGTATCCCTGAGAATGTGCTGCACCCGTTCCCTTGGATTTTGGGCCTCTTCAGGCTATCTCAATTTGGCTTCTCCAAAATGAAACAACCCCCTTTTCCCCCGTATTTTTGCTAGACACTCTTTAATTCTTTGGCTTTGGGCTTTTGGATAACAGAGGCCAGTCCCCTAGGTCTCCTAAATACATGGATAACTCTTACTTCCTCAGGCAGTCCTGGAGGAAGTGAACTACTCAAGTGAGTGAACTGATGCGGAATTTAAGTAAGACCCCAGTGTAAATGCTAACAAGCATTGACCTAAAAGTATCTGCTGCTTTTACTGCTGCAGAAAGACAGACAAACTTGTCTTGTGGTGAGTCCTGCCAGGCTGTGCCTGGATCCAGGATGATTGCTGCATTTCCTGGTGGTGTGAGGAGGAAAAGAGATAATATGAAAATATGGGAGGTGCAAACAAATCCTGTTTTCTAATGAGAATAACTGCAACTGAAGCCGCAGTTAGCCACAGGAAACTATCAACCGACGTTAGTCAATAGACAGTTCATTATGGATAACTAACAGAAGTGTGTGTATATATATATATATGTATCTCTCCATGGTATGGTATCTGTTTGAAACTGTTAGAAACTTATGCCTGAGTCAGATTGCTTGCTTTTGGTCTTGAACTTGACTTCAACTTGGTTATGTTTGCTTAAGGCGTGGTGAAAGCTGCCCTATAAAGGAAGGCGGGGATAGTGCCAGCCTGTCTGTCAGTCTGTTGGTGTTGGCTGGAGAGTTACACCGGAGGCATTGCAGGTAAAAACATCACTTTGCTGTTTTACTTAGTACAAGATGAAGCAGGTGAAATACAAGAAATAGTGCGGGAAAAGCATCACAGACACATTGAGAGGGATTTGTCTTGGAGAGACAGAATAAATTAGTGTTCTCCTTAATGTTACCTGGAGGGAAAGAAAAGATGAGTTTTACTGTCCTAGAAAAAGCCTCATATTAAAATGGTAAGTTGTCAGAAGTAATTGGATCAAGTGGGAGTGGAGATCCTAAGATGGGGAGGACTCTATAGTTATTGTAGGCTGCTGTTAAATGAGGTAGAAAAAAGGTATCTGGAACTGTCCTATGCTATGTAGGCAAAATGAGGAGAAAATTGACTTAATAAATAGCCAGAAGGGAGTACTTCACAGACTGTTTGGAGCAGAAAGTCATGCAAGATGCCACTGGGAAAGTAATCTCCTGGAGAATTGCCAAAGTGCCTGGCTTTGGTTTTGATTTTCTGAGGTACTCAAGGCTTATATGTACAAGGAGCTGTTGTCCGTTTGGGGTTTGGGATGCCCAAGTTCAGGTCCCTGCTCTGCCTCTTCAGTTTGCTGTCACTGCAGGCAAGCTGTTGAAAAGCAGCACTCTCATTTGTTTTTTCTCTGAATGCAAGGAGAGCTAATAAACTCACGTTTTCCTTCATTGTAAGACAATTCTGGAACTGACTCCCTGAAGTTTTTACAATGCTCCAAATACATGAATAACAGGGTCTTAGAGGGAAAGAAAAAGTAGCATATATTGAATGTTATGGGTGAGATGAAATGTATATTGATAGTTTGGAGTGTTTGAGAGGAAACAGGGGAAGAAGGGCTGCTGGCTTTTTGGCTTTTTTGGTATTTGTAGTGTTTGAGAAAATTCAGCTCCTGAAGTACAGAAACCCAGCTGAGCCAACATGTAATGGAAATGTTTTGAGAAAATCGGTGGAGAAAGAGAAGGTGGATAGTTAAGCTATGAAGTAGACACATGTTTCTAATTGCCTATTTCCACTTTCTACTCAGTGAAAAATATCAGAAGCCATTGAAGGAAATTGTGTCTGTACTCTGACGTAAATCTTTATGCAAAGTGTAATTAGCTGTCAGTAGCATTTGTCACCATTGAGTACCTGATTATAATAGTTGCTTGATATCTTTCATGTATGAGTGCTGGAGGGAGACGAGACACACCCTTTGCCACTGGCTTTCAAGCTGTTTAATGCAGAATATAGTGGATGCTTGGGGTTCCCAGGTTTGTTTCTGTGGGGGTCACCAACCCTTTTTGCTCTGATATCCTCAGAGACCCCCCCCACCTTTCCTTCCCAGCCCTTCCAACTGTTGCACTTGATCTCTTTTTCTCCCTCTCTCTTTTCCACTGCTTCCCTTCCCTCACTCACCTTTTGTCATTTGACCCTCCCTCTGAGACTGTCAGCAAGAAGAAGGATCTCTCTCTGCTGAGAAGAAAGAGGGACCAAAAAAGAGCAGCAGATGCAGAGTAGGGTGTGATTCTTTTCTCCTTTTCAGATAAGCAAATGCATTGGAGGAGATCCCAGGACTAACTAAATGTATGTTTAACCCCTTCTGAATAATAATTTCCTTCCTTAGTTGAGAGTCAGTGTCTTATTTTTCTCCAGTGTTTCACAATATGTCTGAACCAGCTTTTTTGAACGTTTGAAATCCCTACGTCTCTCCACACTGTCATGTGGCAAGGAGCAGTCCAAGCGCAACACCTCTGAGACACATTGCATTATAAATTTGTCCCTTTAAAGTTTTTCTGCCTCAGAGTTCAGTAACAGTGAGAAGCTTCCTAACCACGCAGGCAATATTCTACTTTAAAAGCTGTTATGATCTTTGCTGTTTCTGATGAACCTGGGAGAGCTGAACTGTGGCCAGGGCTCAGGGTGCTGCTCCAAAAGAGGCGGCCGGCAGAGCATGCTGGTGCGGACAGCATAATGCTAGCCAGGTGCGTGTGACCCCGTGGGCTGCCTGCGCAGTGGCATGGACGGATGTAGAGCTCATGTATCTGTGCATGTGTGCCCCAGGACACAATACTGATGAAGTTATTCCTGCAAGAGAAAAGTGGTTAAGTATATGATTTTCTTCAGTCTGGTTGCAAATTTATTCCGGATATGTTAAACAACATAATTACACACACACACACGTGCTAAAAACTCTTGTTCTATGTCAGAAGAGAGGGAACGCGTGTCAGACCCAGCCTTCAAGCTCTGTTAGTTTTAATTTGAGTTTTGAAATTAGTAATCAGTTTTGCTGGAACACTGTTGCAAGAAATAGATCTTAGCATGCATGGGGCCTGGGCACAGTTTCAAATGAGTATTTGTTAAGAAGAAGCCATTCCCTTGTCGTGTTATGGTACATTACATGAGATTTATTTCCATTGTATTAAAAAATGCAAGCCCAAGGGGAATGTTCTCTCTTGTTAGCTGAGGGTGATTTCTGAATTCCATCTGATTTTTTTGTGGGGCTTTTAATTAAAACAATGAGATGCAAACCTCCGCATTTTTTTAGGCTGTTGTTACAATGCCAGAAGGCCAAGTAACTCGAAGCACCGAGAAAGGTGATGACACGAAGCAAAAAGTGTGTGTGTGTGGAGGGGGAGGCTGTATCACACCTTCAGTGTGACTGGTCTGTGTTTTTCACATGTGTGAATGATTCACAATAAAAACCTGAGGCTTTGCTCTCACTGGAGCCATCTGCTCTCTTTGCACCACACTAGGAACATATCAGATCTGCAGATGTTTGCTTGGTAGGAAAGAGCCCTTTCAATCTACTAAACTTTCTATTTATTTATTTATTTTATGTCATCTGGTGGCTTGAAAGTGAAACTAACTGACTTCAGGCTAGAAATTAGCACAGTGAAGTTAATTAACTGTAGGAGTGGCTTGCCCAGGTCTTGTGGTGGATTTTCCAGTGCTAATTTATGGAACGGAAGTACATCTTTGGCAAGAGTGCTGCTGTGCTCTTTGATCACTGTAAAGGGGACAGAGTCCACAACGGGACATTTTATCTCCTGTACCCTGTATTAGCAGGTCTGTCCATGCTAGGGTTTTGCTGCATGTGTGAAATGTTCACTTTCCCTAAGTGAATTGCCACTTTCCTTTACACATGTTAACAAAGAGGACTTTGAACATGCTCCAGACTGAAATAGCTACAAAAGCTACGCAAAGTCTGCCCAGTTTAAATATGAATCTGCAATCCAGATCTGTTTAAACACTGGCCTCCAAATGAACTGCCAAGTCCAAAAACCCTGGATCTTGGTGCACACTCATATGAGCAAGTAGCGCAGGTGGCATCCAGGTCTGGATGTTGCAGCTTGGTCCCATCTCAGCCCTGTAGCTTTAGGGAGTCTGGTGGAGCACCTGTGTAAGTTGGTAGGAAGCCACCCCCTAATTTGTCTGGGATCTTCAGAGCAGATCCCAAGGAAAAGCGAATCTCTGCATTCTTTAGGTCTCACAAGGAGTGACCATCAAGCGCTCACCTGTGGAAATGAATTAAATAACTCGCACGATGCCCTGGGCACAGACGTGATCCATGGCCAGAAGAGTCCTAGGTACCTCTGTGCAGCCTACCTGCTAACAGCACCTCCCTCCTCCCCTGTGTCTGCAGCTCCTGCTCTGTCCCCTACCCTTGCTTATGTTGCAGATGTACCTCAATGCTAACACAGTGGCTCGCTAACAGCTTTGCTCTCTGTCCTCAGGGAAGGCTCAAAATTGAATTTGTAGCAGTGACAGCACTGGTTTAAGATAAACCAGTTGGGATTTGACGACTACTCTTTCTCCAGGCATTTCCAGCTAATAAGGATTTTGTCACTGTGACTGCCTTCAGCTTTGCAAGCTGCTTCTCCACAATCCTCTTGGGGTAGCGGGGAAGGTGTTTGCTTTCCCATATGCTCCTAAGGCACCACTTCAGATCAGGAAGCTAATGGCAGTCCATGTCTCTCCTTCACAGGAAAGGGGTGCCATGCTTGCCCCTGGATCTGCACTGACATCAAAGCGGGACTGGCAAACAACAAGAGCAATGGGAAGCCTCCAGAACCTGAAGAAATTTAATAACCAGGACTTCAACCGCCTGCGAGCTTTGTGTCTGAGCCAAGGACTGCTTTTTGAGGATGCCACCTTCCCCGCTCACATCAGCTCCATCGGTCCCAACTTGCTCCCAGAGGATAAGCTGCGGCGAATACAATGGAAGAGGCCAACTGTGAGTTGTGTCAGCTGGGGTGTGTCATAGCCTGATGGCCAGAGGCTAAAGGCCTTCACCTTGGGGAAGGAGATCTGTGCTAAGCAAGGAAGTAGACCCCAAAGGGAACACTGGGTGTGCAACACTGCAAGGAGGGATCCTTGCTGTGGGATGTGTGGAGGGAAGTTAACCTCTGTAACATTGTTGATTTAATTGGGTAGTTTTGTAGGAAGTTTCTTTCCACCTGTGAACCTGACTAAAACTAGTGTTCCTACTTTGAGTTGCTTCTAGGGGACTTTGTGCAAACCTGAAAAGCTGCCAAATCCTATTAAAGATCTCTGATTTCTGTAATCTAAGCCGCTGACTTGGCAATACCTATTTTAAAGTAGTTGGGACAAGACATGAGATGAAGTATGTTTGTCTGCTGATTCCCAGTTGCAGTTTAATAGGCAGTTGTCATCATCTGGCATATGGATGTTTAAATTGTGAGGTGGAATCATATACTCACGTCTTTTATCCTAGGACCTAATTTAGGGAATCTTTCCATGGTCGAACTGTGCTGTATAGCACTGCTGTGTACCATTTGCTGCTGATGCAGTTACTGGTTTTGCCATGTGCTTCCCTTTTGCTGGGTTTTGCTGAGCACACCACTGGTGCCTGGGGTCTTTTGCTTCCCTGGGCTGGAGCAAACCAGTTCATCTCCCTGAAGGCAACACCTTGGGATGTAGAGACAGTAACTGTGAGACTGTAGAGACAGGACAAGACAGCTGGAAAAGATTTATTTGGATGGCAGATACAAGTAGGGCAATGAGGGTATGCTGGAGCTTGGCAGTGCGGTGGCCTCAGCATAGTAGCAGCAGAGGCTGCTGCTGACATGGACGATGAAAGCCATGGCTCAAAGTAGGGAAGCAGGCTAACCCAGGGAGCCTGCATAGCTGCTAAATGTGGATGCCTGAATGGAAAGGTGGGAAGCTCTAGCTCTGGTGTAAAAGGCATGTGATGTGGTGAAGTATCCAGCTGGAGCAGAAGCTGCAGTGTGGACACCAACGGGGCTGTGTCTGCGGTGTTATAGGGATAGGGCCTAACGCTTGAACTTCTCACTATCCACTGCTGCAGCAGAGCCTGAAAGAGTCAGAGAAATTGTGTGTGCAGAGGTGCAGGCACTTCCTACCTGGGTCAACACTTTCTCACATGGCTTGGTAGGTGTGGAGGCTCTGGGTGTGGATGTCTGGGTGTTCTCTGTGGAGCTGCTATGAAGGGGTTATTCTCCTCTGCAGAAGCATCTCCTACTGCTGGCTGAACATCTGGGCTTCTCCTCAGGCAGCCTTTCTTCATATCTGGGTCCAATGAGAATGCAGCTGGTGCTGTGGTTTTTACACCAGCACTCTGCTTGCAGGTTTGTAGCAGGTGGGGATAATGTCTCTTGAAATAGGGGTTATAGTAGAAGAGTAACTAAAAATGCAAAGAGAGGAATTAGTTGCCACCATTTCCAGACTGAGAAAGACAAAGATACGGTAACTAATGTTAGACTCATAAAAGACAAACATGGATATTAGAAAGGACTCTCAGGGGCATTTTAGAGATGAATAAACTGACATAAAATGCTATGGTACAGTTCTGTTAAGTACTAACCACCCTGGTGTTTTTGCCATTTGAGAGCAGCAGAGAAGCGTAGGATTTCAAAAGCGTACAAACTGACTTAGAAACCCAAATACCACTAATTCTGAGGTGCGTCAGTGTGGGATGAACATCTATTCTACTCGAATATCCTGAGAGTTCTTTCATGTGCGAAGAGACTGATGTACCTTGCCAAAAGCAGAAACTGCTGCTGCTAAAGCTTGAAGTTTGTCAGGTGAGGCAGGTGTTGGAGAATCTCCTTCCATTTTGCTGAACCATGAAGATTAAACTGATGAATGAAAGTTTTTGTGGAATTTGTTTCAAAAATGTGCAGAGGTTCTCTCCTTCCTGGCACTTCCCTTTTGAAGATTTTTTTTTCAGCAATCAGTACACAATTTCCAGCATCACCCCACCAAATTGACTGAAACCAATAGCTTCCAAAAATTTTCCAGAGTTCTTTTAGGAATGAGCGGGATGAAAAGTCATTGACTTTGCCAGAGCTCTCCTCCAAAATATTAAACTGTATGCTCATGGCCCAGGGTTCGCAACATGAACATTGAAAAACCTTTTCTTCTGTTATAGAGGCTAAAGCAGCATCACCAGCTGCTCTTCTATGACATACTTGAGGAACAAAAGTTGACCCTGCCAACTCAGCTGGCTCATCTGGAACAGAAACCCAGGATGTCAGTGCTGAAGAAGGCTCCATTTTAATATTTTTCTTTTCTCAATTTGACCAAAAGCTCCAGCTGTAGTTGTTTCCTGACAAGCCAGGCTTCATCCTGCTAGACAAGACGTAAGGTAAAGGGCAATGGCGCCAGCTGCCTGGGGAGCCCAACCAGAAGTTCTCAAACATCACCACAACACCCATGCTGTGTCACAGTGACATCAAAGCACGGCTTCTGTCTCCTGGCAGAATGAAGCAGGGGCAAAAGAAAAGTTGCTAAATAGCAATGGTTGCTTTTCAGTCATAGACCTGCAGACGTTTTGAGCCAAGGGTCAGGAAGTAAATAAAACTGTATTTGCATTTCAAATATCCTGAAAGGACAGCACTTCATCCAGTTGCCTCTGGGAGTTGGTCCCCAGGCAGAAAGAGGGAAGGCTGCAGCGTTAGGTGTCAAAGTGCCCCATTCCTGAAGTTTTTCAGCTGGGCACCTTTGACCCGTGCAGAAATGTTCGTAAACACTTTGTTTCTTAGGTCATTGCAATCCTAACTATAAGGATACATGATCCCAGGTGTTTAAGCTACATAAACTACTCAGCAAAGAGATACCTATAATTTCCTCAAGGAAGGCTGTTTCCTACCTGAATACATCTCCCAGAGAGTGCGTGTAGTTGCATCCTGCTGACAGAGCATGGCCAATTTAACCTATGTCTGTATTTTTCTCAGCGTCCACTAGTAGCTCCCTCTGACATTAAAAAAATGTGGCTGGAAATGTATCTGTGACAAAACTGGCATCTTGGTCCTAATAATCTCTTAGCCTCCATTTTCTGAGTTATATAGTATCTGGTTATTTAAGTGGTAGATAGCAATTATAACTGCTGTCATTGTTCCAGATCCAACTGAGCAGTTGAGCAACATGCTGCTTCTATTTTACCTTGTACATTGTCAGGAGAATTGCCAATTATGTTCAGTGTTTGGAGTCTTCATAATTGGGGGTAATGTATAAAGTAGAGGGAAAACATCTTGATTTTCAGGCAGCAATATTCAGTTGTGACATTCAGAAAAAACTTATTTTGACTTGTAAAGTGAGCTGATTTAATATGGGAGTCTGTGAAGGGGCAAGTGGATCAGGAGCACCAAGACAACATTTGAAACCTCTCTTTTCCTAACTCTGCAGTAGTTGCAGTTTTTCATCAGATGGGGACTGCTCCAGGCAGTGTTTTCAGCCCCAGGCTCTCAGTTTACATCCATTGGAACATGTGCAATTTGTAACAAAGATTTTGCATATGGTACTTCAGGCATTACCAGAGGTGGGGCTGGAGGTCCCAGATACAGCAGGCGCTCTGCAATTAACTGGTCTTTTGGTTCAACCACAGTTTTGAGAAATGGATGAGAAGTTCTATTTTAGATTGAATGAAGTATTTTCTGTTGCTGGGCTTTTCTGAAGATCAGTCAAAGAGAAGTTGTCCTTGAAGAATTATGTCAGACTTAAAACCTGAGATGCTCCTTTAAAAATGTTTAGAACAAATTTTTTCATCGTTTGGTGCTTTTCCTTCTCACAAGAAATTGAGTGGAACAGAGGAAGTCATGAAATAATTTGCTGTTGCTGAATACACATTTTAAATCAATTAATGTTTAGGCTAAAGGTTTTTCTCTGTTCTAATCATAATACATAATACTATACGGATGCAAAACCAAACTGAATTAGGTGATCCAGACAGTGTGAATTGTGGTGGTACTGAATGCGGACTGCTCTACTTCTGCTAACATTGGTTATGTTTTCAAACATTGTATGTGTGAAGGGAGAGAGACTGCCACATATGCAGCTGTGCCCATTATAAATGTTAAGAACAGTCTCTGATCTTCAGCACTTATGCTTTAAAAAAAAAGGCTAAAATGGGCAAAGGGTGAAGTTGCTGAAGATTTTTCTGAAGGGTCTTCAAGGTCACAAACTACTGTTCCTGCACCGCTCACCCTTTGTCTCTTGGAGACCCTATAGCTCACTTAAGTAATGACGGACTGCTGAGCAAGAGCTGGCATAGGACGGTCCATCCCCTGTTTAACATAGGCTGTGACAACAGTCCCCTGTTTAACATAGGGGTGCAACCAGAAGCAAGGGAAAAGCTGAAAGGTGTCCAATGGAGGTTTGAGGATCGGCATGAAAGTAATCCCTGAGTGCCTCTGATGTGACTTGTAGGAGGGTGCAGGGTGAAAGGACTGTTTGAAATAGCCAACACAAGTTTCCTCTGCATCATCACAGTCTGTTCACAGCATTAGGGCATGGACTCCTTGGGTATTTGTCTCATGTGTCTGGTGTCAGGGGAAAGGAAGAGTAGGGTCTAAAAGAAGTCCTTGGATAGAAGTCACAGAAAGAGGCTGCTTTAGTGTGAACTTGAGCAAGGGATATACCTTGTTCTCTTAGCAGAGACTCGGAGAACCGTGCTACTGCACTTAGCATCTAAAAAGCATTGGGGAAAATGATACACTTTGAGCCAATATTTGTTTGCTGGGAAAAGTGATTTGTCATTTGACTCACTAATTTTGCGAAAGGGCTTGCTCACATTTTTTCCTCCCTTCCTGTGCCCCTTCCCAAAGCAAATGTAACCTTCTTTCAGTGACAGAATCAGCATTGTGGTTCTGAACTGCTTTTGGTAATTACTTGTATATTAGCATTTTATTTAATTCCCAGAAATTTCCGGGAATTTACATCAACCTTAAGGAATTTTGAACCCAGAAGTGGTCTAAACAAAAAAGGACCCTTAACAAAAATAATTTTGAAATTAAAATCTTTCCAGACAGATAAGCTGAGCTGGAGTTCCTACTGCATCAGCCTTGTCCTGTCTGTAGCTGGAGCGGAGAAAAAGACAGATTTTGTTCAGGCAAGAAATCAGACAGCAATTTGAAGTTAACCTAAAAGCTTAACTCTAGGAGCACAAGGGACAAATTAAGAAAAACCTACTGGGAAAAAAAAAAAAAAGTGGCTTTTCACATAAGCTACTTTAACAAAGCAAGTTACAGGAAACGTGTGGCAATGAGGGATAGCGCTGTCCTGCCCTACCTGCAGGACATGAGCCAAAGGTGCTCATGTGGTGGAGACCACAGCTTCATTGTTTTCCAGGGGCCACAAGGCCCTTGGATTCTGTTCAGTCTTTCTCCTTGATGAAAATCAAAATCAATTCACCTTATTTTCGAGTGTGCGTGTGCAATCAGTGTAATTGAATGGGATAAGCATTTCCAGGCTGCCATTGTCTCAGCCATTGCCTACTCAGCTGATTACATCTGACCTTGACTTCAGAGTTCATGCCTTTGGGCTGAGGAAGCTGCAGTGCATCATCATTTATTACGTCTATCTTTCTGCACAGGCTTTAGCTGAGGAGTATTTGCATAGTGTCTCCTGGCTCACTGATTTTTGCAAAGGGCTGTTTGTGGGGGGAATGCATGCATCCTGGGTTGAGGGGAACGCAGTGCTCCTATGATGGTCTGCTGACTCACCTGCCTCCCTGTTTCTCAGGCTGGGGAGTCAGCTAGCAGGTTTATATGTCTGTGGTGGCCACAGGGGGATAGTTGGTAACACCATGCCACTTTGAAAACTTCAGTTTATAGCATTTAAAGACCACTAAGGAAAATGCCTCTCAAAGGCTTAGGGTAGACAGGGCTACCTTCCTTGTTTGCCTCCTTTGCATTTACCTCCTTTGTTTGCAGTTGTCATTGGTTTTTAGCAAAGCAAATGTGTTGCAGGTAAAATCTGAGCTGGTTTGTTTCTGCTGGTTGCTGGACACCAGTCTGTCCTCTGACAGGACTTTGCTCTCACATTTGTGGGCTTCCCACCTGTGTGGAGTCTGAGGACCTCATTCCTCCATTGTGAGAGAGAGCTGGAGCAGAGAAGGGTTTTTTAAGCAACTGAGGCATTTGTATTGAAAACAGGCAACTAGCAATTGAGCTGTTCTGCTATAAAGCAGAGAATTGAGCTCTGGCAGTGTAAGCAAACCCCTTGAGATTAGCCTGATTTTTCCTGTCTAAGAAAATGTCAAAGAAAAACAGAATATGAGTTTAAAAAAAAAAAAAAATTAGGCAGATTCAAGGAAACAGATTCCCAATTCCCTCGAGGTCTAATAAACACAAAACTGGATAAAGCCTCCAGCCTGGGAAGTCCGTTAGCCCCCAAGTGATGGAGAGTGGGAGGGAGTATGCAGAGGGAGAGCATTAGTTTCAGCTTACTTGGTTATCCTCTCCCTCTCAAAGCTGTCAGAGACGAGTCATTGCAACAGGCAGACCTTTGGTGTGACCCAGCGCAACTTATCCTTTGTTTTGCCTTCCTTCGTTTCTCCAACTGGCTTATTTCTCTGTTAGTTATTCTGTGGAGGTTTTCTGTGGTTACAGGATGTATGACAGTGGTGTGCATGACCCCTCCTCGGCACACTGCTAGGCAGTGCCCTCAGCCCAGGGAACTGCAATGCCACGTTTTCTTCTCAATCCAGAGCAACACTATTACACGCACAGCACTGGTGCTGAATTAAGATTTGTCCAGCTGAGAACAGAGTTTGGCTTTCAATCAATAGCAGCCTTTTTATTTTTCTTAATCGGTGTGTGCTGAACAGGGAACACTGTGGCTCATGATGGCAGGATGTATCAGGAAGGTGGAGCTGGAGCAGGGGGGGAGCAACACAAGTGCAGCCAAAGGGAAAGATGTGATGCTGTGGCAGGAACAGCACAGGAGCTGGGATTTTACTGTAGTGTTAAGGTGAACTGATCAGGAGGCAGCGCTGCAAAGAGTCATCTGCTGCCTCTTAGCCTTCAGTGGCCTTGTGCCTGCACTTAGGATCATGCTGGGCCAGTGGGGGGAAATCTGTGGGAAAGTGGCCTTGGCCAGACCAACACACTGAGCAGCAGCCTGCAGTCAGACTGGCTTATGAAATCCCACCTCAGGCTTCCAGTTTTCCACAAAAATGTCTGACTGTGTCCTTTGTATGTTGCATGTGGCCTACATCCACACTACTAACCTCCAGCTTCTTCTGGGGACTTGTTCTTGCTTTAAAATTTCAAGCAATTATGAAAAGAAATTTTGAGACAAATGCATGTACAGGCTGCTGTCCTTCCACCTCTCAAATTAATTCTCCATCTTATCCTTTGGATAAACAGTACTTCTGTGGTAAGACCATTCTCTAGAGGATGAACTGGCTTGAACTTGAACTTCTCTTTTATTTTTAATACATAATGAAGTCTTCAGTGGGCCAGAGAAAGCGAGTGATGATAGCTTTGTCCTGGGGGGATGAGTTCAGGCAGAGCACTTGACTTGCAGCCCATATGGTTGCCTTCACTGCTAAACTCGTAGATACTCTGAGACCACGTGCCTCTTTGAGCTCCATCTTCTTTCCCCCTCCGGCTAAAATGGAAAAGTCCCAGGGAAAATGCCACAAAGCCTCATCATAATTTCTCAGTGAAATGAGGCGCTGCTTCTGGACAGACTTGTAGTTAAATCTGTGGTTTCTCTATTTGTCAAGCAATTCGAGCACTAGTGAATAGTGAGGCTTGCACATTTAGTGTAGCAGTAACTATGTACTTAGTTGTGTTTTGCAATAATAGACAATAGTTCCTGGGTTTTTATGACTGTAGTATTCTTGCCTTTGAAGGAAGAAGAGCTAATTCGAGACTTCCTTTTCTCCCTTTCCTTCTGGTTGAGAAGGCCCAGATTTCCAAAGCACTGCACCCATCAGAATTATGTCCTCTCTAAGCCCTTTCAGAAACCCTCTGTTCTCAGTTCAGGCTCCACATAGCCTCCTTCAAGGGAACAACAATTCCACTGCTGACTTCAGGGG